CTGGCAACCCCCTAATGTATCTTTTGGTTGGGAGGCCGCGCCGAAAAAGAGGTCACTTTTTTTAACAACATTTCTCAAACAAAAACAAGTGTTTGGGGCCTAAATAAGGCATTTTTTCATCATTTGAGACAACAAAAAAAGGGGGGGTGAAAAAGGCGTTAAAAGGCGTGTATATGAAGTAATGGGTTAACAGAAAATGATGAAAATACTTGAAATTACCCTAAATCGCGTTTTTTCATGTTTAAACATGGCCTCTCATATAAATTTGAAGAAAAATTGTTGTTTTGTAGATTTTTTTATTTTTTTCATTAACCCATTACTTCATGAGCATTTTGTGAAAAATGGCTGTTTTCATTGAAAAGTCTCCCGTTACAAGTTCAAATTGCTATAATACTATAAAAACTGCTTCAACACTAATCAAACTTGGCACAAATGTTGACTGGACCTTTGCCCTTGCAACAGCATGCTCAGGCTTAAATTTTCTGTTACCATGGCAACGAGGGGACATCTCAAAATTGCCAAAAATCACTGTTTTGTGCTGATTTTTCCATCAAAATTGATTTCAAAGTGCTGCAACTTCTCAATGGATTGAGATAGAGTCAAATGCTTTTCAGCATTGGTTACACGGTACCTTATTATCAATCTGGGGTCATTTACAGCCTCTCACAAGTCCAAAATTTTCTTGGCGATGAGGGGGACTCCGCCCCCCTTCAAACCCCCCAAACAGAAGGGGGCACATCCCCCTTGCACAAATGTTGACTGGACCATTGCCCTTGCAACAGCATGCTCAGGCTTAAATTTTCTGTTACCATTGCAACGAGGGGACATCTCAAAATTGCCAAAAATCACTATTTTGTGCTGATTTTTTCCATCAAAATTGATTTCAAAGTGCTGCAACTTCTCAATGGATTGAGATAGAGTCAAATGCTTTTCAGCATTGGTTACACGTTACCTTATGATCAATCTGGGGTCATTTACAGCCTCTCACAAGTCCAAAATTTTCTTGGCGATGAGGGGGACTCCGCCCCCCTTCAAACCCCCCAAACAGAAGGGGGCACATCCCCCTTCTGGCAACCCCCTGATGTATCTTTTGGTTGGGGGGCCTCGCCGAAAAAGAGGTCACTTTTTTTAACAACATTTCTCAAACAAAAACAATTGTTTGGGGCCTAAATTAGGCGTTTTTTCATCATTTGAGACAACAAAAAAGGGGGGGGGTAAAAAAGGCGTTAAAAGGCGTGTATATGAAGTAATGGGTTAAGGCCTATAATTGGAAAAAGTTGTTTTTTAAGGTTATGAGTTCAATTGGGGAACAGTTTCTAAAACGCTTTGTGTTCGGTAAAAGAAACGCATTTTAAGCAACGACATCTTGTGTACAATTGTAATTTTGCCCGTCATGAACAATTTCCATCCTTTGTAAAGTTATATAAAGAAGTTGTTCTTCTTTTAAAAAACGAGTACAATAGTGGAACCATATTTAATGAGTAAAATGGTGGAACAATTTTATTGCCTTCCAATTTCGTCATTTTGTTTTATTTAAAATTACTTGTGACTCGCTTCCTGTCCTTGAAGTCATACAAATATGATATTTGAAAGTTAAAAGTAAGAAGAAGTATCAGATTGAATGAATTCATCATTCTCTTGTTTATAGTATTCTGCTTTGATAACGCACGTGTACACCAGCTTAAAGGTATTTACAAAATAGAATAATAAAGAAATACAAAATGTCAACATATAGAATTTATTTCACCAGCAAAATATCACTTCCATTTATATACATAAAATGTCATATGATTTTGACAATTATTTTGGATTTTTTTGTATTTAAGATGCAGAAAAAGCGTTTCTTTAAAAGATAAGCACATGTAATATGTATTGCATATTTTACAGTTCAATATTGCGCTAATATTATAGGTTAAATACTTCATTACACTATTTTAAGTATTTCAACGTTCTTCCAGGAATAAAAAATTCTGAGGTGTTTATTTGCCGGCATTGTTTCAAATCGTATAGAAGACCAACTTTATATAGTCACGAGCAGGTGAACGAGTGAAAAACACCCTATAAAACTGTGATACATTTTTCCAAAGTTCCGGTATTTGCAAAGACATAGGTTTGAAAATTACATTATATTACCTGAAGTACATAGCTGCCTGACATTTCTACAAACGACTTGTGTGTCAAAGATGGAAAGAACACAAAGAAATGGTTAAACAATAATAAAAAGAAACATTTAGAAAACGTGGTTAGCTTGCCATGGAGCAGTACATTGCTCAATTATTTGCTATTAGCAACTTAAAGCTACATACAATGTACGTTGTGTGTTGAGAAATGAACGCATTATACGAAGATGCATTAATAAATTCGTAAACTAATTCAATAGCGTCAAAACTACTGGTCCGTTTAAAATGAAACTTTAAATGCTGTGAAAACAGATTACTGTATGTGTAGAAATATTCGCGGGCTTCAAATTTTCGCGATCTTCGCGGTGACATTCGATCCGCGAATTCATGTTTAGCGCGAATATTTCTACACCAATAATTTCTTAATAGTCATATTTTCGCGCTCTTATAGAACAATGTATATCAGCGTGTGATATGCTTTCACACTTTTTATTTAAATCTTTACTGAGTAATTGTGTTTTTTTTTTCCAAGTTATTCATCATTTAAAATCGTTAATGTTTTTTTCTTCTAATTGTTTGTTCAGAAAAAACAAAACATGATCTGATCAGATGTCAAGACGTTTATGACGCAAACTGTGAAAAATTATGCACGTTAACGGGCATTCATTTGTTTGCTATCTGTCCGCTAGACAATGTTCTTTTTCTGTACAATATAGAGTATGGTTTGACACTTGGTATTGAAAATAACTGTGAACTCCCCACGATGATTACAGTAATTTTCCTTTTTAACCTGAATGGTCTACGCGAATTAATGATTTTCGGCAGTCACCTCCGCGAATTCAAAAAAGCGCGAATATTTGTATAGACCCCCAAAGTGGACCTTCCCGCGAAAATTTGCTTCCGCGAATTTAAATACACATACAGTATTTCAAATTGAATCGTAATATGAACACAACTTTGACGTCATCACTTATGACGTCATAAACCGTAAATAACGTCACGATATTACCGTCTGTTAGAAAATGGCGTCACACAGCGTCAACGAATAGCGCAAAGTTATAAAATTTTACACAAAACTCGGAAGGTCTCGTGAAGATTTGCAAAAAGTTTATGGAGAGGCAGCTCTGGCAAAAGATGCCATTTCAAAGTGGATCAAGCGGTTTAAAAACGATAGAAAAAGGCAACTGAAGACGACAGTCGTGCAGGTAGACCAGTGATTGTAATAGATGAAGAAACAGTGGCTGCAATACAGGAGTACATACTCCAAGATAGGCGAGTAAGTGTGGAACACGTAGCAGATAATTTCGCTATTTCATATGGTACAGCTCAGGGCATTATGACTGATAGATTAGGAATGCACCGCGTTTTAGCAAGATGGGTGCCTCGTTTGTTGACGTGGGAGCAGATGGGGGTAAGGGAAAATGTGTCGGCAGTACGACAGGAGGTATCGTGAAGAAGGCGATTACTTCCAAAATCGAGTGATAACATGTGATGAAACGTGGAATCACTTTTTTGAACCGGAATGCAAACGTCAGAGTTATGTCTGGAAGCATCCTTCCTCGCCTTCCCCTACAAAAGCGATAATTTCCAAGTCAGCCGGAAAGGTTATGGTCATTATATTCTGTGATAGATTCGATGTTGTGCCAAACCACTTTGTTCTTCCGAAATCGACAGTCACTGGGAACTATTATGCAACATTACTTTAAACGGAACTCATGGCGGCAATAAAGAGAAAGCGCCCACATCTACTTAGGTCCCAATTCATCACGACAACGCGCCGATCCATTCAAGCCACGTTGTCATGGATACACTAGAAAAACTCGACGTCGAACTGTTACCGCACCCACCCTACAGCCCGGACCTAGCAATTTGTGACTTCTGGCTGTTTCCAACTTTGAAAAAACAGTCTTCGTGGTACGAAATTTGAGTCAAGAGAGGAACTGAGGTGTGCCGTGGACAGACAGCTGCGGGAGATGTCACGTGACGGGCTACAGCACGTGTTCGAGTCATGGGTCGAGAGATGGGACAAGTGAAAATCGTGCATGGGACGTTACTTTGAGAAGGAGTAATCATTTAAGGTACTTGAATTAAATCATTTCCCCGCTATTGAATAAGTTTACGAATTTATTGATGCATCCTCGTATATGCTCCTTATATACTGGTCAGCAGACTTTGTTTTTGGCCATATGATGATATTTTCGACACGTTTGTCACATGCAACAACGCAAATAAAGTTCCACTGAGTTTGCTTTGATATTTTACAATCACCGTTGCCCTAGTTCGAAAAGCTTTGGAGCAGATGTTGCATGTTTCGCCGGAATAGGGAGAAAGATTATCAATCAGCTTTGCCCTAGTTCGAATAGCTTGGAAGCATCCATCACCCAAAACAAATCTTTCGACATTCAGACCTAAACAGATCGGGCTACAAAGTATCCAATAACAGAATTATTACATTGCTTTTATCCCATTTAATGAGCCCATTGTACGTTTTTGGTCACGCGACCATCCGCATTGGCTAAGGACAATATTGTGTTATGGAAATTAGCTGTTATTGCTACATAATTACTTAGACTTTGCTGTGCTGATGATTTATAATATATTAAGCTATATGTTTGCATTATTTTATGAAATTTTATTCACAACAAACAATGATTAATAGGTTTATAAGATTTTTGAAGAATAACAAAATAATATATTAAACAGATACTAGCAATTCTTAAGCAAACATAATATCGAGCATGTTAGTTCAAATAATGTTTGATGGATAGATTTCCCGATTACATAGCAGACACTAAGTACTCGTCTGAAGTGATGTCCATTCAAATTGAAAAATTGCAAATGAATAGACTGATATCTTTAAACCCATAACCATTTTCTAAGTTACTTATATGGCTGGATATTTGAAGACTTTGCATTAAATGAATATGAACAAACAGCACAGGTGAGCTGCAAACCCTCTCTATATGGCGGACATTTGAGAGATCCGCAACTGCCACTAACGAAGTAGAATAATTTGCCATCATGATTAGCATAACCACCAGGTAACACTTCAGGCTCATCATCAATACAGATAAATTGAGATGGTGATACATGCTTGTGATGGCTTGACATTAGATAGCTCTTGTATTCCAGTTTGTAATATTCGTGGCAGATATTTCGTCCTGGTACCATCAACAAGTTATTCCTTGGTATTCTACACACTGAACACGGAATGTCTTGGTTATTTAAATGTTTCCATGCTGAATGGAGGAATGTTTCATACACTGCACCGTAAATAACACCATCATAAACTCCTGGAGTATATTTGTCGTATATAGGATTCTTTGGTAGACACAAAGGGTCGACAGCGGTTCCACTATGAGAGAAACTAGACCCTGCTGCATACCCAGTGTAAACTTGATATGCTGTCTCTGGGCATGTTGTTCTCCCCCATCTTACATATGTAGTGCCATCAACTGACTTCTGGTTTGTTTGAATAGTTTGGTTCAACTGAGCGATAGTGTCTCTTGCACCTGGAATAATATACAAAATATGTAAATTATATTTAGTAGAACCAGTTATAAATTCATTCTGACAATTTGCTTTCCTTGCATGATATTATTGAAACGATTGCTACGACCACTGCTTAGAGATTCATATATTTAAATATCTTGAATTTAACATTAACTGATTAATATTTTCTTACACATCAAAAAGCATCAAAGTATCAAGTTGAATAAGATAAAATTATGGAAATGTGAAAAAAAAGGTGTTGTAACGCGAAGGAAAAGGCATTATTACACAAACTAAAGGCGTTAAAGCGTTATAACGCGACAGAGAGGCGTAATATTCCGAAACAAAAGGCGAAGAAAGGCAAAACAAAAATGCGATATCAAATAGACATACCGGTTACGCGAAAACATGATACTTATATTGATATGAATTAATTGCACACGATAATTCGCTTCATATTTTTAAATATCTTCAAATATTTCATAAGGTCACAGTTTGTTTTTTGATCTTTCATATGAAAATACAAACACGAATTACGAGTTCACTTTCATTATTACTAATGAGATACTTTTACCTACTTTTACCTATTTTACTTATTCTATCACTTATAAAGAGGATATGTCTGATGATGAGGACTTAACTTACACCGAATAATCAAGAAAAGCATTCAATATCAGCAAACATTTATGATATCAAGAGTGCATTTTTTTTAAATAATAATCATTAGCGGTTAAAGTAGAATCTTAAAATATCATTAAAATAAAATAAACTGTCACCTTGAAATGATACTATTAATAATCACGAATAAGCAATGTGACTTAAATAAATACTCAAAATGACTTTTAAGCATTTACATGTACATACGTTGAAGTCACAATATTAAGAGTTACGAAATGGTATTAAACTAAATATATTACTAAAATACTTAAATTACTTTATAACATTTACATGACTGGTACATAAAATAGCAAATTTAAACAAACCCTTGAGATCTTCAATCAGCGATGCCACTTTCTTGCTCTGATGCGAAATGATTTCCTCAAGCTGAATCAGTTTCTTCAACACGTTATATTCGCACTGAATTTGTTTTCACACAAACCATTTTCTGCGGAGGACGACGATGCTCTTTCAGTACTCAGCAAAAACAAAAATTTTGCAGCCACATAGAAAAACATGACTCTGTTTGGAGTAGAAGACGTCTATCACTATGCGCCTTTTCAAATATTGTTTTGGTTTACTCTCTTGTTATACTTTATTGGTTTGAATTGTTTTAAAAACAAAACAAAGAACAATCCCCAAAACGTGGGTTTATTGTTACAAATAGGAAGAAGGAAGAAAATGTCTTAAATCTTGTAACAAAAGTGTTATTTTAAACATCTTATTGCATGAAAGACTATTCACGATACATATATTGCACCATTTTTATGTTGGAATGAGTGTGAAAAATGGTTATGATCTAAAGAAATACAGAAAAGATTATGATTATCGTTCATTCACCAATATATGTTTAATGAAAAAGGTTAAGGATAAAATAAAGCAATTAGCTAAAATATGATAGGACTGCCCCACCCTAATTTAATTGTACAATAACGATATATTCTGAAGGATATTTATAGAATTTTCTGTGAGTTACGCAGGTTATTGTTTAAACAAAGGAACTAAAATATAAAATTGAAAATAAAAGAAAAATCTAAAGTTATTTTGACTTTAACCTGGAATCCCAAATTTACTCTTCGATGCGCATTATGTTACTTTGAGTAGATTGGTATGATAATATAAGCAACACAGTCAAACTGCTTGATCTTTATGATTTTAAAATTGAATCATCACTGTTAAGCCAAGCTGTAATGTTTTAGGTATTGAAATATAAATATAAGCTTTGCAACTTATTCTTTTGAACAAACATTATACGAGTGGTTAGAGAATTACTTATAAGACGTGTGTTTGCATATGTAAACAGTTGTTTAATACTTACCAAATGGGCGTGTCAATGTTTCAAGCCTTAACTGCCACCAGCTGGCTATGGGTTAAACATTTGTAATTCTCGTTTAAAAACGGCTCTCTTCGTTCCATAAAGTGTGAATTATATATGTTTCCATTATAGTGAATTGGTGATGAAATATAAGATAAAACATTTTAGATCTACACTATTTGGGCGTGTAAGGTATTTTCTAAATAGCTACATTCATATTTTAACAATTTATGAAGTAGAATAAAAAACATAATCATTGAAGAACACCTAAAACGGCAAAACTGAAAATGTTGCAAGCTTGGTTTGATTAAGCCTGTTCATTGACAGTAGTGGTAAGTAATAAAATGTAATCGCATTCATGGTTAACAACAATGTTGGTGTAACATTAAATTTTGACCCCGTTTGATAACCAGTATGTTTAATGACCCCATGGGTCATTTTTCAACGCAGTTTGATCTGTTCTGAACAGGATAAGTAACCGCTGAGATAAGTGTGGTGTATCAGCAACGGTTACTTCCCCTGATCAGTACAGATAAAGAGTAGTAATTTATCAGCAGGAAACCGTTGACTTTATACATGTGCTTTGGGTTACAAAATGTTGAGTAGGATTAGAAGGCATGTCGTACATTAAAGCATACAACTGTTATTATCGCAAGTATACCTTGGGTTTATATAGCGACAATTTTTAAAGGGCTGGAAGATATTATTTTATTAATAGGTATAGATAGATTAATTTATACACAACATATGGAACATATAGTCGTTCTAAACACAATGAAAAGAGAGCATTCCTTAAACCTAAACCCAAGGCTAGCTATAGATTTAACAGTCGATTTTACTTGTTCGTAAAATTATCACTATCATAGGACAAAACATATGTAAAGATTATGCATATTAACCTCCCTTTGATAAACGATCGTCATTAATACTTCATAATAACTAAGTGTTTATGGGGTTGTTTTGGTTAAACAGGAAAACCGTTTTTTACATATCAAACTTAGTTACATTTCATTTGAACTTTGAATAATTAAATTTTGTTGTCATTTGTTAATAAACAAACATTTATTATAGCTATTTTAAAGACAAGTTCAGAAGAAGCTCGGAAGACGCTCGTTATTTGAATAGCAACGTTAGAAAAACGTTTTTATATCTTGAAGGAAATAGTATTGAATAATAGGATAACCTGTTGTTCTAGTGTAAAATGGATTTGTCCATGCATATAGATACCCAAGTTTTAGTGCAAGTGCAGAAAGAGTGAGTCGAGTTTGGGGTCTTGAAGAGAGCTGCTGAGCACATGATTAAAGTTAAAAAATATTATATTAGTTATATTATATCAGTTATATTAGTTATATTATATCAGTTATATTAGTTATCAACATTGACACGTTTTCTTATATTTCCAAAAACGTGGATGTTTGAAGGGGTGGTATGGACGGAGAAGAATCATGACTGAACTGATTGATGTTAATCGTAATCAATTTTAGTACTGAAAGTCCGACAAATTAATATTCCGATGTCTGTTCTTAGGGATAAACAAAGAAGACAAATTATTTCCTATATATACCAAAACATCCATTGAAGTTGATTTTAAGTACGTCTCATATAATGATTTTAAAGTGGGACGAACCATCACTAATTTTGGGCGAATAGTCAATAAAGTTGGTCGAATCGACAATTGAGCAAATCGTTATCAATTAGCATAAATTATATTTATATTATAATAAATTGTATTCGCTTAAATGCCACGATGACGTTACAACCTGCACGGATGTTTCATCATATTTTGTATGGTGTCAATTTTTCTTTCTGATGGAGACGTAATATAGTCAAAAGTAGTAGAATGAGTTCTCATTATCTTTACCACTTGTATTAAAAAGAAATAGATTATTTTAATTTTAGAAACTTTACAGCATTTTCAATTAAGATTAAATATTTCATCAGTTAAATGATAATTAAATATAAGTGTATATAAATAGATAATAAATGAATATAAAATTTTAATGTATAAACTTAATTTCTTATTGAACATTTCTATCAAATTTGGCTGAATTTTATTTAATAAAAAACTGTTTTGGAAAACCACAACCCACATTTGTAAAACTGCCCCTTAAAATAAAGGATTAAATCTCAAACTTGTTCCAAATATCTCTAAAATTTTAATGTTATGATTAGCCAACGAAGCGGCTGTCAAATGACATGAAATTTCAGTTTTCCAGACATGTCTATCAGGAACTAAGCTTTTATGAACACAAGTTGGTTAGATCATTGTATCTGCTAGTGAAAAATTAACAGCTCATGAGTGAAAGGTTTCAGATATGTGTAAGGTGTGAGAATAGGTACATTTACTTTATATACAATAATGTTTTTCAAACAAAAATGCGAGAAGAGACAAAGAGGGCATAAAATGTTAAATGATAAATAACCTGTACAAAGCATTTTATCCAATTGCGTTGACTGTTATGGTGACCTTTTTAGCTCACCTGTCACACAGTGACAGGGTGAGCTTTTGTGATCGCTTTTCGTCCGGCGTCCGTCCGTCTGTCGTCTGTCCGGCGTCCGTCCATAAACTTTTACTTTAAATGACATCTTCTCATAAACCACTAAGCCAATTTCATCCAAACTTCATAGGAATGTTCCTTTGGTGGTCACCTTTAAAAATTGTTCAAAGAATTTAATTCCATGCAGAACTCTGGTTACCATGGCAACCGAAAGAAAATACTTTAAATATCTTCTTTTAAAAAACCCAAAGAGCTAATCTTAAATATTTGGCATGAAACATCTTCTAGTGAGTGTCTACCAAGTTTGTTCAAATAAAAGCCCTGGAGTCAATTTTGGCCCCGTCCCAGGGGGTCATTGATTTTCCCTATATGCTTATAGTAAAAACTTTAAAAATCTTCTTTTAAAGAACCCAAAGAGCTAGAGCTAAGATATTTAGCATGAAACATCTTATATTGAGTGTCTACCAAGTTTGTTCAAATAAAAGCCCTGGGGTCAAAATTGGCCCCTCCCCAGGGGGTCATTGATTTCCCTATATGCATATAGTAAAAATTTAAAAATCTTCTTTGAAAACACCCAAATAGCTAGAGTTTAGATATTAAGCATGAAACATCTTCTAGTGAGTGTCTACAAAGTTTGTTCAAATAAAAGCCCTGGGATCAAAATTGGCCCTGCCCCGAGGGTCATTGCTTTTCCTTATATGTGTATGGCAAAAACTTAAAAATTTTCTTTGAAAAAACCCAAATAGCTAGAGTTTAGATATTAAGCATGAAACATCTTCTAGTAAGTGTCTACAAAGTTTGTTCAAATAAAAGCCCTGGGGTCAAAACTGGCCCCGCCCCAGAGGTGTCATTGTTTTTAATTATATGTGTATAGTAAAAACTTAAAAAATCTTCTTTTAAAAAAACCCAATGAGCTAGAGGTAAGATGTTTAACATGAAACATCTTCTTGTGGGTGTCTACCAAGTTTGTTCAAATAAAAGCCCTTGGGTTAAAATTGGCCCTGTCAGAGGTCATTGTTTTTCATTATATGTGTGTAGTAAAAACTTAACATCATGAAACATCTTCTAATCTTCTAATGGGTGTCTACCAATTTTGTTCAAATAAAAGCCCTGGGGTTTAAACTGGCCCCGCTCAGGGGCCTATATACAGGTGAGCGACTTCAGGGCCATCATGGCCCTCTTGTTTGCATTTTGCTTTTGTTTGTGTAAAAATTATACGTTTAGTCTGGTTTCAGATGTAATTCGTATGTTTTTAAAGCACGCTCTTCCAGATTAACGCTTATTTTTTATGAAAATTTCAAAAATGTATAATATTGTACAGGTATTAAAGAAAGCAATTTACACATTGCAAACGGAACTTAAAATTCACGTTAATTACCGAAAAAAGGTCAATAAATTTTAACGTTTATAATTGATAAAAATCCGTTGAAAGGCATGCGAATACTTGTAAAGCGTTAAAGTGTCATCAGAATTTGCAATGACATTGTCATTTGCAAAAAGAACTTGCATCACCGTTTGAGACATAGAAACTATGACGTGGAATAATTGTTATATAAAATAACTAATCTAAATAAATCTACATTAAAAGGAACGTCACTCAAATATTTGTTTAATTCATTTAATGTATACTTTACCTCTGGTTTAAATAAAGTAGTCCTTGCAATGATATTTTCTATTTTTGACACAACATAATTATCCAAAACTGTAGTTTGTCATTATTCTATCACTTACATCACACAGGTAAGTTTAACCGGCTTTCTGCTTTACCATGTGATAAGGGCCGTGTACAGAATCTTGCAATTACCACTACCGACATGAACAGGGTAAATTAAACCAAGAAATTGGCCGCTTTGGGCGTTGCTTAATAATTCTGTATTTTCTCTACTTTATAAATTGTTTAAAAAAATGAATGGGATTGTAGCTATTCATGCCTTCACGCCAAAATAGTGTTGATCTAAAACGTTTCAGTACAAAAACAATTACTTCAAGATAAAATGTATTTGTGTGATTACTTCAGCAAATTTACATACACGATCGACTCATTAGTAAAAATGAAACCTAAATAGCTTTTAAGCGAAAAATTTAAAAGTAGCCAACCGGGGGCAACTGCTTTTACATATGCGATCAGTACAGGACAAGACCATGGCTAACGTTTGACTCGTTTTGTCCAGAGTGGACATGGGCAAGGCCATTTAAGATATTTGGCGTGGTAAGGATAACAAAACTGTTTAGTCATGTGCTAGTTGTTACTATCAAAATAAATACTCTTTATAAAATTACTTGTCTAAAAAGTAGTTCTCTGAATACTGGTAGAATGTTTGTGCAAGGGGATGTATTGCAAAGCAAAATGTAAAACACTACAGCTAGGCTTAACAGTGATGATTCAATCGAGCATTTTGACGTTGTTGATTTATCAGACAAATCCCCACAGTCTTCTTAAGGTAACATTATGCCCATCCAAGTTTAAATGGTGGGTGTCCAAGTTAAAGTCAAAATAACTTTAGATTTTGCCTTGTATTCAATTGTATATTCTTATTAATTTGTTTATACAATAAACTACGTACGTGACTCATAGAAAATTCTAATAATATCCCTCAGAATACATCGTCACAAAGTGGGGCACTCTTATATTTCAGACAATTGTTATATTTTATCTTCAAAATTTTTAACATTTTTTTTTTCATTGAACAAATTGGTCTATGAACATTAGAATAGCTAATGTTTTAAATATATAGCCAATTAAGCACAACTCCTTAATGAAATCAATTGGCATAATGTGACTTTAATATGAAAAAAAGAACCTATTGTAAAAAAGCTTCTTTAATATAACCAACTTTATATCATTATAACATAAACGTGTATAAATTTGTATCGTTAATAGTCTTTATTGCAATATATAATACGATGATTTATTAATAAATAAAATCTTTTGTTAAAGATTTAAGACATTTTCTTCCTTCTTCTTATTTGTAACAATAAACTCACGTTTTTGGGATTGTACTCTGTTTTGTTTTTAAAACACTTCAACCCAATAAGCATAACAATAGAGTTAAACAAAACAATATTCGTTTTGGAAAGGCGCATAGTTATAGATGTCCTCAACTTCAAACAGAATCATGTTCTTTTTTGTGGCTGCAAAAATCTTCTTGTTGTGGATGATTGGAAGCACTTCGTCGTCTTCCGCAGAAAGTGGTTCTTGTTAAACAAAGAATGTGAATATAATGTATAGAAAAAGAGGAAATCACTTCGCATCAGAGAAAGAAAGTAGCATCGCTAATTGAAGGCCTTAAAGGTTTGTTATAATTTTATTTACTTGTTAATGTTGCATAGTCATTTAAATATTTTTGGTAATCCCTTTAGTTAATTACCGTTTCGTAATTCTTAATGTTATGATTTCAATGTATGTTATTGTCAATGTTACATTGTCATCCAAGTATGTTGGATATTCAACACTTTGGTTATATATTTGGTAAATTTCGTGATTCTTAATGGTATGATTTCAACGTTCCAGTTTATTTCATTTAATTTATATATTTTAATATTATTAACAATTATTTTTTCAAATACATTAACACTTGAATCATATATGTCTACTGATCATGAAGGCTTGTCTTGTTGTTAAGTCCTAGTTATCATACATATCCTATTATTAAGTGTTAGATTATCTAAATTTCGTAAAGATATCTCAAACCTAAAGGTGAAAGTTAACACCTTATTGGATGTTACTATCTCCTTAAAGGAGAAAAGCAGTATGTAGCATAAAGAAAGATCCGTAGAAAATTGCAAATTTGAAGCATATATATCGTGAACAATAAATTCATATCAATATTTTTTTTCCTTTGTCGCGTCACCAGTCTATCTAATTAGCATTAATATGTAATTAAAGTGGCATCACAACGTCTTTTGTTTTGCGTTACTTCGCCTCTTGTTTCGCGTAAATGCGCCTTTCTTTCGCATTATAGACGTAATAACGCCTTAAGTTAGCGTTATATCGCATTCGCGTTAAAATACTTCTGTTCGCGTAAGAGATGTATGGATCTATAAGCAGTCGCTCAATAGTATCATAAAAGGGAAACAGAATCTTAGAATGAATTTATAACTGGTTTAAAAACATTAAAGATTAAGCACTTTTGTTTAAATCAATGCCTTCCTCATTCATTTCTCTATATATTTTGTATATTATTTCAGATGCAAGAGACACTATCGCCCGGTTAAACAAAACTATTCAAAGAAACCAGAATTCAGGTGATGGCACTACATACGTAAGATGGGGGAGAGACACTGCGTATCAAGTTTACACTCGGTACGCAGCAGGGTCTAATTACGGGCATAGTGGAACAGCTTCCGACACTTTGTGCCTATCAAAGAATCCTATATACAACAAATATACTCCAGGTTTACAAGGAGGTATTATATACGGTGCTCAGTATGAGACAGGTCGTCCTAATTCAGCATGGAAACATCTTAAAGACCAAGACATTCTGTGTGCAGTGTGTAGAATAACAAGGAATAACGTGTTGATGGTGTCGGGACGAAATACCTGCCAAGAAAATTACCAACTGGAATACAAGGGCTACCTAATGTCACGCCATTACCAGCATTCAGCATCTCTATTTATCTGCATTGATAATGAGCCGGAAGTTCTACAAGGTGGTTCTTTCGATGATAATGGCAAATCTTTCTACTTTGTTGATGGCACTTGTGGATCACTTAAATGTCCGCCATAAAGAGAGGGTTTCGAGCTCACCTGTGCTGTTTGTTCATATTCACCTTATGCTAAGTCTACATATATCCAGCCATATAAGTAATTGTTAATGATTTCGAAGATATCAATCTATTCATATGCAATTTCAAATCATTTTAATAGACATCACTTCAGACGAGTACTGCATGTCTGCAATATAAAAGCGACCTCTAACGGTCAATCATTATTCGAACTTACATGCATGCTCGATACAATGTGTATATATGTATGTATGTATGTATGTATGTATGTATGTATGTATGTGTGTGTATGTATGTATGTATGTATGTATGTATGTATGTATGTATGTATGTATTTGCCAAATATATGAATTTTCAGTCAGGTAAGTCAGTGAACTGCAGTCAATATTGACCTAAATGTGCAATAACTTGAGACAATATGATAAGGAGGTAGCCATTAAATGAACTGTTGCTGCCAAACAATGGACCTGTCTTTCCAGACGTCATTCGTACTAGAGGCTCACGCACCCTAGTATACCATCCTTTGTAGGGTCACTACATTCGGCTTTAATCAGGACACGGCAACTAATCTCATACAGTATTAGCCGTGTCGCCTTAGAAGTAACCGCGTCTGTAGAGTTGTAGAGTTTTTAAGCTAACAAGAGCAAAACTAAAAGATTATGAAATCAGACAACGCAATTGTAAACATTTGCATGTACTACCTATACTAGGTAAAACTGACACTTGTGATTTATCATTTAACATTTTTATTTACTCTTTTGTTTTGTTAAAAAATGAAATGTTTGCCCTTTTATTTAATAAAACATTTAGATGATTAAATGTTTATTCATAATTGAAAATGCCTCAAAGTTTCTAAAATTGAAGGTGAATGTTTTTTTTCTACATAACATTAGTGTTAATGAAAATTAAGGAAACACATTTTCCTAGTTTCGATTTTATTACGTCAATAACATATGTCCATTCAGGCTGTAACGCCAGCGTGACATTTTAACGAACTGATAACGCTTCTACTTTATTGACGATTCCCCCACGTTAGTAATGGTTCATTCCACTTTAAAAATAATAATCTGAAACGAACTTAAAATCATTAAAATTTATAAATGATTTAATTTAATGTATGGTTTGGGTATATGCGTGAAATAGACAGGCAACGGGCAATTAATTTGTCGGGATTTTAGTATTAAAACGATTACGATTTACTTCAGTTCATTGATATATTACGGAAGCTTATCAGGGTCTCCACTTATCTAAAAGTTTCACGTCAACACGTTTCTTCTCGTTTTGACATTCCATGAAGACAGTATGATTAATACGTCATACGTAAAACATTCCATGTAATACTTAATACGTTGAAGTTTTAATCATTGCCAAAAAATGTTGAATTACGTGGGCTATTTGTCAATGCAAGTAAAGTTTTTGCGTCCTACTAAATATTTCAGGAAAGTCGTGAACAAAGTATAATCTTTTTTTTTTGATGGATTTTTATCGAAGATACAAAAGCATCAATCATATCGAGAAAAGTTAAGTTGCAATGCCTAAAACCTCCTCATCTTTTTCAGTAAATTTTATTGAGATTTGAAAAAACATTTATCAATGCGAATAAAAATAAGTTGATTTAGCGGAAAACATCCCATCAACTGTAGTCCCTATTAAGCTTCCGTATTGACATATACAGTTAACGATTATTTTATTGTATAGTAGTTTTATTTATATACTTGTACGAAATTTTTTATGACGATTACATGTATACTAAAATGCCAATGGTGTACATGCTCCATAACATGCGTTCATTATTCTATCAAGTTGTGAAAGTAACATTATCTTTAAATAAGTGCACATACACTTTATGTAAACTTGTAAATTCTACAGATTAATATATGTTTTAGTTCGCGCATTATGTAAACGTAAGTAAATGGTTGACTTATTTCTTATAACTTAAATATAAAAAGAGGATATATCGTGTTTGTAGTGAAATGCTTGTTAATTTGTAACGATTTGTTATTTAATTCGCGTAGTGAACTAAAAGACACGATAAAACATTTCAAAATATGATGAAACTATTACTAGATGAGTGTCGTGTTAAGCTGTACAAGGAAGAAAGGTCGAATCGGGATATCATTAATGAAATAGTGACTGCTAAACAGAAAGAGGTATTTTCAGACGTTACATTTATGATACAATGAGCATTATAGGTGAATTTTCTAGTGATTTGCTTAAAAAGGATATATATTGACTTTTCAGTCAGAATATTGATACGCGCATTAAATCAATCGAAATGTTACTATTATTTACAATCAATGAGTGTTAATTAGAACACTCAATTTAGTTCTTATACTGCGTAATACTGTTTATTAGTTCAAATCTAGAAGAACAAAACTATTGTTAAATAAAACTATTGTTAAATAAAGTAAAATCAGATCTGAACATCTAAATGTCACAGAATTGAATACTTTTAAATTGTGTATATTTATATTTGACAAGGGCGATGACGACAGATTCGTTGTATGTGATCTTGGTGACGTCATTAGCAAAGTTCAGCGTTGGAGGAAACTGATGCCGAGAGTTAAAATATTCTACGGTATGGAATCTTTTATTTACCGGGGAAGGATTGTGCCTGTAACGAGACTCGAAGTAAGTTTTGTATACAAAGTGCTTATACGCAAAAAGTTGCTTTAATGCCATCAACTATTTGAAATAATATCATCAGAATGTTTAACATCAATTTGGTAATTAAATTAAAAAGTCTAAATATAAAGTATAAAGTAATACTAAAAGATTTAGTACAAGGTTTCAAGTATTTCGTCGGAATTATGTGGCTTAATGAATCAGTTTTGTTTCTTGTTGGTGTTCAATGACTTATGTCACAACGTTTATATAAATTAAACAAAAGTTATCACAATTTTAGCTGTGAAATGCAATTCTTCTGAACCACTGTTGAAAGTTCTTGCTGATATGGGTGTATCGTTTGACTGTGCAAGCAAGGTAAAATGAATGCAACACAAACATTTATTTCCATTTAATTTAATGTAATAAATGAACACTTTTAGATTATGCCCCTTGTGATTTCCTAAAATAAATTACTTATCTGTTGGGTCCAGTCTCGTTTTTACTTAACGAGTTAATAGATTTTAAACCTCTTCTAGCTTATTTATTTTCCGAATCCAAAGAAATCTATATGAAATATTTTTACTCTATTGTTTTTTTTTGTTTTCATTTCCGAGTTCAAATATTCCGTATCAAACTTTTATTGTACTTAAAGTAACAAAGTTAACAAAGTTTTGTGAAAATGTCAAAGCAAATGGTACTGTGAAATAAAGAGGTCATTATAATGTTGTTGACTAAAATACAATTTTATCGGACGAGATCAAAGCTGAAAAGCCTTTGTAATCCTCGATTAGCGCCTCGTTCAATGTAGGCTTAACAAAAATGTGTTAATTTATTTGTATTAGTTTGATTACGTGTTTCATTTTTTGAAGCAACATTTCCAATTCACCAAGAAACATGTTAGAATAAAATAAACAAATTACAAACAACGAAACGCTAGTACATTAGATGTTACTGTATATTTATTTACCTGCATTCGGTTTTAATTTTTCTATCATCGAAATGTTTTCAAAATATATTGATCTTGACTGATGAAATATTCCAAGCATTGATATATATACAGTATGTTTAATAGCAACGCCGTCGTTTTTTAGAATGAAATTGAGGCAGTGCTCAAACTTGGTATTTCACCGACTCGTATTGTATATGCCCATCCTTATAAGCCGGTATCAAGTTTACTGCATGCAAAATATAAAGATGTTTCATTGATGACATTTGATTGTTCTGAAGAACTTTTCAAAGTGAAGGAATTCTATCCTTCAGCAAGGTATACCAATATGGTTAAATTTATACATTTTTATGTGTTTCATTTTAATTTTGTTTTAGTCGCCTCATTCATTCATATTTTAAAGACATATGTTTAACTTCAAAATAGAAATATTTCATCAACTTATTCTATATTCCTATCTTTACGATGTTATTTTACTTACTTATATTAAATTACTACATTGTTATTCCTATACAGAAATTTAATACAATACAGTAGGCGTCCAATTTCAATGTGGTTATCCATTGCATATCGTTTATCACTTTAGAGTATCATATTTTAGGGACCTTTATGTTGAAAATGATCAAAAGTATACATATACATGGCACAGTGCGTTAACACGACTGAAGGTGTCAGTTGATTGGCCCATTTCTGCTGGGCTGACGGCAGAGAAAGGGAAAGCGATAGAAATATCATATTCAGATGCTCGTTCATTGGTTACATTTTTCTGGGGTTTCATATTGTGACAACAGGGAACGTGTTTTTATGTTTGACTATGATACAAAAAAGAAAGAAAATCAACACACACTAGGTGAAATTTCCCCAAATCTGATTTTTACTTCCCTTTACTAATTATTTCCTACTTACTTACCTACAATCAAATTCCATTACCCCAAAATAATTCAAAATTTACTATCAACTATTTTTAAATTAAATCAATTTCCTTTTTTCATTTTACAAAATATTTTAAAATTATTTATCTTCAAATTTTTTCCTACTTTTTATTTTACATCTATTTTTCCTACCACCTTTTTAACGAACATCAACACACAAACCCTTTTAGTTTATCACAAAAAAATCATTTATTAACATTGATTTATAATATCATAGATCCAAGTGAATTGGTCAATTATGGACGGTCTGTAATACAATACCTTTTTTAGATAATTACGTTGCTAGTATTTAGTATTACACATCACACAAGCCACAAAAGAATTATGCATGGATGTTGCATGATTCGATATTACATACTAGTAAATTTTATAGCAGATAATTAATTGCTCTAGAACAAAATATTATTATTCCTCAATAAAATGTGTATAAATCACTTATAACTTTATTAACATTTTTTTTCTTTTAAGGCAATATCCAAATTGTACATTTCTATAGTTTTTATCGTTATTTTAAATACTTATGGAAAATTTTGACTTTGTAGACCAATTCGCAATAATTTACTGGTCGATAACGAGTATACTTTAGAATAGTTAAAAAATTTCAGGTTACTTCTACGACTTTTACCTGAAGTTGAATTCCAGGCTGAAGTACAATTTAACGGCAAGTTTGGTTGTCCTTTGTCTGATGTAGAGAATGTGCTACGAGTAGCAAAACAACTGAACCTTAATATCGTTGGTGTCAGGTATGTCCCAGATTTTACACTTTATACGAACATTTATTTGCATTTATTTGAGTGTTCAGTTGTTATTTGTAGAAGTTTAAGTTTTGTTAAAGAAAAATGGTACATTTAGGAAATTTCCGCACTAGGTGCAAATGATCACCTTTACGTTTTCCACTTGTGGGCTCATATCAATTATCAATTTTTAGAGTGGGCTAAATGTCTTGGGGATAATAAATGTCAGTATGAGTTATATTTTTTACTATCAGATTATTATATATATTTATGGCTTAAATATTTGTCAACAATTACGATTGTCCCATTGTTATTTCATTTATGGTATGCATGATGACTGCAATGAAATTGAATGAATATCAATGTAGTCAAAGTGCAAAGTAATTGTTTCTTATGTACAGCTCAGCTGCTAATTGTTTAAGTTTTCATGTGGGAAGCGGTGTACAGGATCCCAAAGCTTATGTGCCGATTCTCCACCAGTCAAAGAAAGTCTTTGACATTGCCAATTCACTTGGATTTGTTTTGAATGTACTAGACATCGGTGGAGGTTTTCCGGGACATCAAGGATCACTTAAACGTTTCGAAGCGGTATGCAGATATAGCATGTATAAAATTCACATATAAATTGTTTTATGTTTCATTTAGTAGAATTAATATTTGTAATCTCAGATTTATGTTATAATGTGCAGCCGGGTGAGCAACAGATCATTCAGAAAAAGAATTTTTTACAGGACATGTTATACCGTTGCAAAAAATTAATTTTAACTATTTTTTTTTTCAAATTAGCACACATAAGTGGAAAAATAAACGAGACTTACCTGTAAGTTGAAGTTGGATTTCAATTCTCCGAGGCGCAAGGTAACTGTGATGGGCTCCTGTGAGAGATGCTTGTAGTATCCAGTAGGTCAAACTTTAACTTGTTTAGTGAACACTCAAAATATTATTACCACATACATTAGTATATATATCAGGGTGGGCAAAATAAGTTATCTCGGAGGTGCACATGAGCCCATCACAGTGACCTTGTGCCTCGGAGGATTGAAATCCAACTTCAACATACAGGTTAGTCTCGTTTAATTTTCCAATTCTCCTATCAGCACAAGGTCACGTGATGTGGCCCCTGTGAGAGCTTTAAAGGTGTTCACGAACAACCCAGAAATACAAACAAATAATGATTGTTAATCTTTTACTTAACTACTTATACATTTATATATAATCTACTAAAACTTATCATTTGAACATCTGACAATGATTAAGTAATATTTGTTGTAATAATTTGTTTAATCTAAAAATAAATTGTATTTAAATCAAAGCACTTTGCAGAATGCTTTTAGCAAATTCATTACCTGTCCTAACAGATTTTTTATAAAATTGCGCAAAAGTGTTACTTGAAGACCAGCCAGCAGCTGACATAATGTCTTTTTTAGGCACTCCAGCCCTATCAGCTGCACGTACGGCAGCTGCTGTAGTGCTATGTCCCTTAAATTTGCTAATATATATTCCAGATGTTGCCAAAATATCTTTAAATAATCGATTTTGATAAAGTATTGACTCACACTGTGCGGTTTTTGTATACTAATGAATAATGAAGTACAATTTCCTGTAAATTCTACTGCTCTATCTAGATATGCATTCAATACAAAACTTATAAACAAATCGGGATTATGAAAAAACATCAAATATCAATGGCTGTACATGAAAACCAGGTCTACTCTGCTTGACACACAGTTGTATATAAAATGTCTCTTTATCAGGTAACAATGTCATATGATTTATATCTAAGAAATGTAAAGATTGTGCCCGTTGGCCAGACAATAGTGCCATGAGCATAACAAACCTTCATGAAAAAGTTTTGTCAGGAATTCTGCTACATGATTGACACTAATGATTCATGTAATCCATTACATTCACAAAACTCCTGCCATTTTTAAAATACACATTGTACTGTTTTTTCGTGGTAGCTCGCCACGAATTAATAATAATGGAAATTGCTGATTTTGAAAATCCTGATTGCTGATACATGTCCCTGACAGGTGACAACAATCAATTGAAGTTTTGGGATAAAGAGGGTGAATTTGATCTAGGGCAAATGATAATGTCAACAGATCTTTCCTCCGTGGAAGGCGATATGGGCGCGACACACACATTTTCAGTACATTGGGTTACTAGGGTTGAGTTGTCCAATGTAGCTGCAGAACAAAAATCCCCTGAGTTTTGTCTATCAGAAGTTTTTGTAAAACTCTGTCGATGACACGGAAAGGCAGAAAAGCATAACAAATTAAATCTGTCCAGCATAGCTGAAATGCATCAACAAATAAAGCCCCCGGATCAGGCTTTTACGAAATATTTTTTGCTAGTTTTGCCTTTAATCTCGAAGCAAACAAATCAATTACTGTCTGATAAGAAAACCTTACTAAAATTTTCTAGAAAATAGTGTCATTTAAAATCCACTCAGTATTATCATGAAACACACGACTCTCTTTATCCGCTTATGAGTTTTCTTTACCAGACAAGTGAGTTGCTGTCAGCCATATATTACATTTCTGAGCAAACTGCCAAATTAACTTGGCTATTAAATTACACTGATATGAGCGCGTGCCCCCGTATGATTTATAAAGGCTACCGTAGAACTGTTGTCTGACCGAATCATAACATGTTTATCTTTTAAAAGTTCAAGAAAGGTCATCATTCCCAGACAGACAGCCTTGAGTTTAAGATAATTTATGTTACCAGATAGTTCTGATGTACTCCATTGACCCCCTGTGCTAACATTATTACAAACAGCTTCCCAGCCGATTAAAGGCCTCAACAGACGGTAGGATTTTGAAGTACAACACCAATTAAAACTAAGATGTTCAGGCAAATCTTAATGTGTGAAGGCTACTATTTCTTGAATTTGGAAACCTTAAGTCTAGATGTAAGGTATAGGACATGTTCTTTTTTGAAAATCTTGTCTTACATATTTTTACAGACTTTCCACGATGACAAGTAACAGATTACCTAATTATCTCCTGATAATGGGTGTAATGAATGAAATTCCAGAACAACTACAGTGCTAAAACGTAAACATAGTATTAAGATGGGGTAAAATGATGTTGAAAAAAACTTTCCAGGAGACCAAAAGTTGTGTTATGTTCGAATCCCAAATTATTCCGAAAATGATTATGTCACGGTACATGTATTGAACTGTTCTCTAATTAGGGGAGGGAAGGTAACCGAGCCGGATAGCTTAGTCAGTAGAACCGCAGAACGGTATTCCGAGGGGCCCAAGTTTGAGTCTCGGTCAGGCTTCACATTAAAAAAATATATATATATTTCTTTTTAGTGGTGGTGTTTCAATCATTGCTGATGACGAAAAAAGTATTTAGTGAGTAAAGTATGTAAAGGATCAATTGGGAGGGATTCTTTTTAGGGAAACCTCAACTGATTCCTACAGTGTAGAATTACCGTCTGAATGCAAGTGTTGTATTGCTTTGAAAAATGTACATCTTATCTCTAATTAATGTTGTACAGCTAAATCCTACGTCTGTTGAGGCCTTAACGGAGAGTCTGTTGTCAGAGTTATTTGTGGGAGAGGCTTATAAATAGGTGAGCCAACAATGTACACCTTCAATCGCTGTAGGTGTTAAGCACATTTTCCTATCAAAATTGCCTTTCGTACCTTTTAAAGCAGCTGATTGTTCTTGTTCTTTTAATTTTGTATAAACAAATCCAAACTGAATAGCGACACAGCAGGAGGCAAAAGTTCCTATAAGTTCTGCGATTTTGCGTATAGTTATACCCCTATGTTGCATAGCTAGTGCTTCCTGTATTTTCTTTTTTAGCTTTGTTTGGTTTGTTTCAATTCAGTCAAATATATACATAGTGATTGAGTTAAGTATAAACCCTAGAAATGTTAACATTTGCGTTGGTTGGAACAATGATTTATTTTCATTGATACTAAAGCCTAACTGTGAAATAAGATCTCTTGTACACTGAACATTGTGTTAACATTCTCGATAACTGTTACCTTGTAAATAGGATTCATCAATGTAAATAACTGACAGCAAACCTTGTGCACGTAGCTGACCATATACGAGTTTCATTAATTTAGTAAACAGTCTTGGAGCACATGCTAATCCATTTGGTAGACATACATGAATCGTAAATATTTTCGAAACCGTTTGTCAACGTTATCTGTATAATAAGCGTCTTTAAAGACAATTAAAGTCATGTAGCAAACGGGAGTCATCATTCTGGTAGCTGATTGCAAACATTCCATTTTAAATTGTACATATTCAACAGACTGATTTAATTGCTTTAAGTTTAAAATCATTCTAAAAGAACCGTCCTTATATGGGCACAGAAATACAGGAGAAATATATCCCCCTGGTTCATGCACGGCTTTCACAATCACACCAGCAAAGAGAAACTTTTGGATTTCAATATCAAGAATTTCGGCTTCTGATTCATTTACAACTGTAGTCCGATAAGAGCCTTGAAAAGGTTTCTGTTACAACCTTGTGCTATTTCTAAATTTTGTTTATCTGATGTAATAGTTTTCCACTTTTCAAGAAAGTCTGGTAGTCGACCAGCCTTAAAAGTGACACAGTGTCCACTAACCTCACTTTCTAATAATGGCGCGTTTTGATGAATGGACGGCTCGGCCCATTGTTGTGTGCTTGAGTTGCTGAAGTTGCTGACTTGCCTGCTCTCCCCTTGCTTTGAACATTCAAAAAAACCCAAGGGGAAGGCCTGTTGTGTAAAAAAGGCCTACGTCGCTGCACATCAACTGGTTGATATATATGGTCCGTACTGTGCCTGTTTTGTTTCCTTTTCTGCCCAACTTTGTTTGCTTCTGAAATAAACCGATGTTGTCGTCAAACAAATTTTCAGTGACAGGATTATGCTGAGAACAAGGGGATGCATAATCCTGATTCAATTTTTTCTGCATTTGATCTCTTCTTCTGGCGTTCATGTCATTACTGGCCAAAGTGGTAAATGCCAAATTGTCCACTAATAGAGCAACAACATCCTCTATATTCTCATGCTTTGCGTTTTGTTGCGTTTTGATCTCGTTTCTGATGATAACACCCTCCATATTTCAGGATTGACTTCTATGGTGTAAAGAAATGTTGTATTCTCCGGTATCAACTAACCCGGCTTTTTTGCTCTCGTCTAGGCTTGTTGCCATCAGATTTTGGACAAATGTCGACATTTCACCAAACACTGATAACCCTTTCACCTCTGATAGTGAAAGCGAGACTGTACACTGTCCCAAAATGGAGCACTCGTTCTTTTCTTCGCCTTTTTGAACTTGAATCGGATCACTTTCATAATTTGCAATGTTTTCATTAAATTTTGTAGTCTTTAATGTTTTAGAAACACAACATCTTAAATTCAACTAGTTCGAATAACAAATACCATAAAATCACTTTTCATATGTCACGTCTATACTCTACTGGAGCTAACCTGCAATTGACCAACTGGATACTACAAGCATCTCTCACAGGGGTCACATCACGTGACATTGTGCTGATAGGATTGGTATTTACGTCTTCGATAGTAATACAGGTTAGGCACTTGTTGGTGAAAATTTTATAGATATTTTGTTATCAACTTTTAATTTATACATTTTAAATTGCCTTATGAATCAATTCATTGCATTTATCAAATGTCAAATATTGTAACAACACTGTAAATAAAAAGGAGCTTGCAGTTGTGAGAGAGAGAGACAAAATTTGTTCCTCTTTTTATTAGTATTTTATTTCATTAAGATATTTTGTTTTATTTTATTTTTATTTTATTGCACACTCTACACTTTGTCCTTATTTGTTGCATAGATCTCTCTCAATAATATGATGATTGTATCTAAAAATGATTTCTATTGAAACATCACGTGGTACAAATGCTGAAAAGACATTAGTTATTCTTTATGAAGTGTAAAATAAATAAAAGCATTCTTAAAACATAAGATTCGGGTTGGTCCCCTGCTTTCCGCAAATGTCAATCTACAACATGTACGAGGGTTGTCCCAAAATATCGTAGACAAAGTCTGTTACTCAATCACTTATAAAACAATAGAGTCGTCAAGCTAGGGAAAAGTCAATACACCTTTTATGTGTGTCTATGCGAAATAAAATCAAAATACGTCCAAAACTGACCAAGTTATTAAAATTTAAAGAATGCTACCTATTCTTACCCGGCGCACGCCGTCATAAACGTCATGACGTTGCAAGATTTAAGAAAAAATGTTTTTCAAAGTATTTTCCGTGTTTCTCGATCCACTATCGGTGTCGGGCGACCCATTTATCATAACCATTTTCAAAATAGTCCTACTTTAATGTCTTCAACACTCGTCGAGTTTCCTTGCCTAGTACCCTGAAATTTTCGAACCTCAGGGTGACCTCGTAATTGTGATTTCACATAAGGAAACACTGCAAAGTCTAAGGGCGTATGGAAGTCTCTAAAAACCTATCAATTCAAGTTCAAGCTGTGTCTCCTGAGATCTATGGCAAAGTGCATTATCTTGATAAAATATAATGTTCTCCATGTTGTCAGTTAATGCTGGACGCTTCTTGAACTGAACACAGTATTCAATGACATCGCGCTGCGCCGCATTTTCATCTGACGTCGCCATTTTGGGAATTTTCAAAATAGCATTGCTGTTACATATTATGCTACAGATTTTTTCAAAGTAACGTTACATAAACGTCTGTTGGTGATATGACGTAAAAATGAATGACGTCATTCCACAGGAATGTATTTCCCATAATTATTATTATGCTGGAAGTTAAAGGCATATTTTTAAGAAGCATGCTCTCAACACTGACTAATATTTTATCGTGCTCCGGGTATGTTGTACTGTTTAATATGAAACCCTGATAAAAAGCGTTACCTTATATATTGGCTATTTACTTTAAGAAGGTAAATTAACAAATGACCAAGGAAGATATCTGGTAAATTTTATTAAGTCATGACGTCAGGTTGAAGAGAAAATAATGTAGTCTACGACATTTTGGGACAACCCTCGTAGATATTGTCTAGTTGAAACTTAATTTTGGACAACAACAATCGAAGTCTTAAGCTGAGTATGGTAAATGTAGTAGTAATAATATTAATAAAAATAAAAATAATAATAATTAATAATAATAATAATAACACTAATAATAATACAGAGTCCAGTAAATACTGGCAACATTGTTTGATAACATTTATCACTTGATAGCTCAATGATGCTTCAAAGAAAATAATATTTACAATTTTACTGTTTTCCTTCAGATGTCTACGGTCATCAACAAAACCTTGGAAGAGATGTTTCCACCTAGTATCGAAATAATAGCCGAACCTGGCAGATATATTGTAGCTTCGGCATTTACAGTTGTCGCTTATATTTTTGGTAAACGATGTCATAGCAATGTAACTTGTATGTATGGCAAAGGTAATTAAGTTATGGTTAAAATAAATAAAAACCTATCATACATATTTTGAATTTCCCCCATTTTTTCAAAGAAAAGAAGTGTAAAATTTAATTAAGTAAAGTTATGTCATATTAAATAAATTCGTGCGTTATATGGCATAGTTTGATAGTTTTTAATAATATGTTATTGTTTTATCCGTCATAGCTTAAAATAAATTCGTGATGCATCTGACACACTCCTAAATGAATTCTGTTTATCTGTTTCAGTTGGAAAGAGATTCGTGGTTTTATCCGTAATAGTTTGATATGAATTCCTGATTTATATGTCATATTTTGAAATAAATGTGTGGTTTATCTATAACAATGAAATGAATTCATGTTTCTTGGTATTAAACTGGTATTTAAGAAGTTGTGTATAGAGGGGTCGGTAAGTATAATGAAGGACATTTCCTTTTATTATCTCTAAAACGATTACGCAATATCCATTGTAATTCAATATCTTAGGTGTGGGTGGTTGTTCCTACGGTGTCACAATAATATAAAACATGAAATACTTCAATTTTCAATTCAGATAGTAATAGAGAAAATAGCATGTCTTCAAACCACGAAACTTCCACAACATATTTTCTTAATGACAGCATCTTTGGAAGTTTTGTTGATTGTTGTTTGTGCCGACCTGGTAGCGAAGAATATACTCCAAACATTTTACGGGTAACTTTAAAAATTTGTTTTTTACCGTCCGTCACACATGTCAAATTCCAAAAGATGTGTTTATCTTTTGATTAATAATAATGAGTTTTAATAGTATATGATGTGGAAATACTGCCTTTCTTTCTTTTTCTTTTTGTAAAGTTACAAATAATTTGTCATCATATTTTACAGCACAAATCTGAAGATAAACTTGTTGAAAGTACCATATCAGGATTTGCACCTTTTGATGTCCTGAATAAATCAGTAATGTTACCTGATCTAAATGTTGGTGATTGGATTTATTATGAGAACATGGGTGCTTACACCATGAGCATGGCAACATCATTTAACGGGATAAGTGTTCCAGATATCATGTATCATTGCCTTGAGAACTTATGGTAAATATCGATTACATTTTTCTGTCTGTGTGTATTCTATGTTTAATGAGGGTGCATCCGCCCAGTTAAGGCACTAAATGCAGCTTTCGCTGCCGAGTTCTTACGCCGGATATGTCAAAACGGTTTAATTTGGAAAAACAAAGTAGTTATAATTGACGTCCATGCAATTTCCATTGAGTAATAGCCAAAAATATGAATATTGAGCCAAAATTAGGTCACTGTGCATCGGTCAATTTTTCTAAGGTGATCAACATATTATATTGTCTGAATATCTAAATGTCATTTCATGATTTGTAAATACTTTTTCATATAAATCTATTTGTGTTATGTTTTTTATTTAATTTGTATTGAAGATCGTTCTTTTTTTATTTAAGCGGTAATCACAGTTGTCGGGTGAACACTATTCATGTGTAAGAGCAAAGATTCGTAAATTCTATCACAAAACCTATTTATATCTTCGAAAATATGTTATTTGCCGATGCACCTACCTGTTAAATATTGTCTTTAGATGATAATTTCTCATATTTCAGGCATGATGTTTATTCTGACCAAAGACTTTATTGCACGAAACGTCCGTAGATTTTAACGTTCAACAGAATTGCAGAGGATAGCAACAGCACTTTTTTATAAATTTTATCTTTATCTATATTGAAAACGGTCTTGCTCAATGAGTCCGAGACGATTGAAGATGATAGGTTTTAAGCGTTGTAATATAATACAAGTGAAAACATTTAAGAAATTTTAGTTTTATTATTGAAACAAAAATACTTTGAAAAGGAAATAAGTGTGGTCATGAGTATCATATAAGAAGATTGGGTAGACTGAGAAACATGTTGACAATGCAAAATCAAATGACAGTTATTTCTTAGCCAAGCTTAGAACAATTGTAGATTTTGGGTCCATGAATGATGTCAAAAACTATGCTTACATTTCCTATGTCATGACTTCAGAATTAATAATTATTATGTTTCTTTCATTTGGAAGTTGAAAGTTTTATTTCTTCACTTTGAACATGATATTCATTGTAAAGTACCCACATAAATATCCTTTGGAAATCATCAGTAATATCTATTTATAAAAAGAGTGGGCAGTATTTTCATATTTTAGGGTTTTTCTTTTATATTTTATCCTCAACATTTGTCATTATCCATTATTGTCAAACCATCATTTTAGTAATCAATCTTTTTAAAAACACAACTATTTTTCTCTCAGCCTAACTGAAACAAATGAGAGTAATGTCACTTAAAAAGTGCTTCGATGGATATGGTCATGTTTCACAAATTTGATAGTTAAATAGCGATTATTCTTGTGTGCTCTGAAACTTTTACTTTTCATAAATCTTCAAATGGTAACATTGCACCCTCAATAATATTTCGTCTTCTGTCAATACTGCTGTCACATTTAATATCTTTCTATTTTCTTTCTTCTCTGGAAAATATGCCAACTACTTGTGACATGAATAATGTCTGAAAAAATTCTTACATACTGTCTTCTATCTATTTATGTTATTTCCAGACAAACTATTTTTTGTCATTATTTTCCAGAAATGTGTTAGGTGTGCTATATCTTTGAAAGTATACATTAAAAATGCACACATACGGTTTCACAAATCTATAAATCACTGATTCTTGGGGCTTTCCTCCCTGTCTTTAGGATAAACTTGGTACCTAAAATAAGGAATGAGTATTATTATATTTCCTAGCAAACAATCAATAAAAAAATGACATACACAGGTGTATATTATTCTTATTTTATATATTCTTGTTCCTAAACAATTCTTAATCACGCTTACAGGTTAACATTTCAGAATAAATATATTGGCTGTTTGGCCTACTGCAGAAACAGAAATCTCCTACGATTTTAATAAAATACCATGAAACACATGAATAAAAGCCATTTCAACGATAACCAATATATATCATAAAGTAATCTTAAGACATTTTTACAATTTGTTGTCTTTTATCCTAGTTCATTAATCAATAACATCTAATTGGTTTTGGCATGGCAGTTCTGTTTAAGTGTAGCAAAAAATGTTCAACATTAGCCATTGGTGTTCATGCGTATTCTTCTTTTTCAGTCAAATTATTGAATGTTGTATCTGTGATTTCTTTTGGACTTTCTTGTAAAGTACATAATCATTAATATTGCAATGTTTCTTGTCTTTTTAAGTATGGTTTTAACAAATGTCCTGCTTATAATTATGCAACTATTGTTTTGACCTGAAATTATGCCTTTGATTTACAATCTTTTAATGTTAAAATCGAACTTAAATATTTGGCGATAACGTGTAATTGTATCTTTTTGTTGACGAAGAGACACGTTTCAGACATTAAAAAGGCAACTTTTAATGTGTCCTATACACCGACTAGGTTATATAATCAAATACGTAGCGGTATTGTATACAGTTATACAATATATAATACAGCTATATTGTTTACATGATATATGTGTCATAATAAAGCATAATAAATACATGAAAGTAATAGACAAGAAAAAGATCCAACCTTACCACAAATCTTCTAAACAATGGTATTTTATGTCAGGAACACCAAGACCGTTAAATGATGAAGTCAAACTGAGTGTATAAGCACCCATGTTTTCATAGTAGATCCAGTCACCTATACGTAGGTCAGGCAGCATTACTGATCTGTTTAGACAATCACCAGGTGCGAGGGTAAATCCTAATATCGTACTTTCAACAAGTTCCTTGCCTTTTATGGCCTGGACCAGAATAAATAAATAGTTATATATCAACAATCCAAATATACAAAATGCTAGGAATATATAATGATAAATGGGTTATTAAATACTGCAATTGCCACACAGAAAAACTATATTAAAAACTAACGTGAACCAATTTTTAGATTATACCAATAAAATGATGTAATTATTTGGAAATCAGAATCCGCTTGCTAAGCTAAATAAAGAGATCATCGGATATCTAATCTTGGGATTGCAGGTTCTATCCTCATACATGTCAAAATGTGGTCGTGGCAGTTGATTTCGAACATTTAGCCTCATGGATACTCATCTTCCACGGATTATTTAAACAATTATGGGGTGATAAGCAGTCAGTCACTTACAAAGGAATTGGTTATCAAAATATGTAGATTAGGTGAACCAATCGCCGAGATAGATCAATACTTTATATAAATCAGTGTAAAAATCAGAGGAACAAACAAATAATTGCATGTCAGATACTAGACTGAATAACGGTTTTACTTTTTAAAGTTATATATCATTCGTGAGGATAACAATATGAAAATATGAACTTAGTTTTACCTTGACTAACTTGGGAGTATAAATTTCGCTTCCCGGTTTGTAAAGATGACCGAACACAAAGTTGCCAAAGACACTGTCATTGATAAAATACGTTGTAGAAACTTTGGCGTTTGATGCTGTTTGAATTTCGTCATTGTCATCTGAAGTACATATAATAAATTATACCTTAATTTAAGTATAAATATTACATAGACACTATATAAAAACTGTATTACTCAGCTGAATTCTTAAATTTATATATTTTGATGATTCACATATTTTTGAAACAATGTGAGTTAATTAATTTGCCCAAATACATTAAAGTTAGCACGTTTGATAAACGATATTTAAATGACAAAGCTAGACATTTTACTATAATCGTTTAAATTGGAGTTAATACGGGAGATTTTCTCTTCCATCATTCGTTATAGGCATGCACACACATTCATTTATTTATAAGTTATATATCATAATTTGATTTAAAGAAAACCTGGAATTTCTCATTCATAAGAGCAATTTTTCAATTACCCGTTTCATTACCAGCTATTGATTTCTTGTAACATCTTTTGCCAATAATATTAGCAACCACAGTAAAGGCAGAGGCCACAATATACCTGCCAGGTTCGGCTATTATCTCGAGGTTATTGTCCGGTGGAAACAAGTCCAACACTGTTTTGTTAATGACTTCAGCGAACTGTAGAAAGTAAATGTTTAACATTTTTAACCTGAATAAGGTTTGCCAACGTTTCTGATGGATGAACTTATTGTCTATGATATATATACAGTATATTTCTTTGTATTCATTCTTTATAATAAGATAGTATTAAGATTGTTGTCATACCTTTGTAAATTGACGTGAAGTGTTATGATCTCCCGGAAAGCCTCCACCAATGTCTAAAATAGTCATATTGAATCCTATTTCTTCAGCAATATCAAATACATCTCTTGATTGGCTGAGAACGGAAATGTAAGCTTCGGGATCTTTTACATCACTTCCGACATGAAAGCTAAGTTTTAATTACAATATAATAATATATAATATGATTTAATAAAAGATTTTTTTTACGGATTTCCTGCAACAATTATTCAGTTATCCCGAATGTGCCGCGAAGTTAGCATGTGTGCCGTTTTGTTATAAATTTAGTTTAATCGCCACCATGTTCCAAACCAGCAAGGAAAGAAAATAGGTTTTCCTTAGCTCAACTGCTCAACTTCTGTAACCAGACTTAAGTTTTTGATAGGAGTCGCTCAGTGTTTGTGAGCAGTTGACTTTGCAAAAATAAAAAAGGCGGCACTAAGGTTTTCATGCTTAACCTGAAAACTGTCATGGAAATATTTTGATAAGCTGGTAAGCATTTAAGCGATTAAATCTAGTTTCTTACACAGAGTGAAAACATAACGTATTTTTGTACATATTTTGAATTAGTTAGTTCCCCTAATGAAGTATATAAGTGTTATACCTTACACCTACAATGTTAAGGTTCAAATCATAAGCCAAGCGGAGCACTTTCTTGACTTCAGACAATGGACAACCAAATCTGCTACCAAATTGTATTCTCGCATCAAATTCTATCTCAGGAAGAAGTCGCAATAGTAATCTTAATAGAAACCAAAGTAATATTTACAGTTTCAGTTTATCTAAGAATTTTTAAACAAAATAAAGAGCCAATTCATCCAGCTAACAATTGTATTTAAAAACTCAATTCGTTACAGTTACAATATGTGTTCTTATTATTATGAGAAACATGATAGTCATTTGCTCCGTAATTGTAAACTAGAGAAATTGTTTTGTATTTAACAAACAAATACAATGAAAATGAATCGCGAAAATAAAGGTCTTAAAGAGACACTTCAAACTAGATTATTTCGATTTCCTTACTTTGCCGACGGGTAAACGTCCTTTATTTTGTATAGCTCAATCGATGTATCAAATGTCATCAAAGAAACATTTTTAAGTTTCGCATAATTCAAACTTGAAACCGGTTTGTAAGGATGAGCGTAAACAATACGGGAAGGTGATACATCTAGACTCAACACTGCTTCAATCTCTCTCTGAAATCATTATGCTAACACTATGATTTCCAAACGTTTTCCATTATTTATCACATACCCGTGCCTCCTTTTTAAACGTTATTGCACGGCATGTATCTTGACTTGACGTCATTATTTTCAATCATATATTAACATAGACTAAATAGTAACACTAAATGCCCATCAACTTAAAACTGTTAACAGTTCTTATTTTGGATATGTGATAAATAGAATTTTTTATTTACTTACTTGATTAAACTCGTTGAATAAAAAATGTAGTGCTCGGAAGATCGTTAGAGGCTCGTATAATAAACAAATTTTCAACTTGTTTAATAAATTCAGTTTTAAACGTATATTTATTCAATATCTCTATCATTATAGTTTACGCTCATTTGCGGATATCTAGTTACCAAATTATAACGTTAAGCGTTCCATGTAACAATAATAATATTGATATTTAATAAAATTATAAAGCAACCATATCGTAAATATCGAAAAAAAAATGGTTAACACCTTGCAAGTTTTAAAGTTCTGTTCAATTTTGCATGCCAACAATTATGTTTTATGTTTGAATATAAGTGATCTTTGCCCATTTTAATTCGGGATCCGTACACAAAGTGAACTCACACCACAGGCATGTTACCATTCAACTAGGGTATTGTATGGTAGTTATAACAAATAATCGATGAAACTGAAACTTATTTCAGCTTACAAAATAATGATGTTACAATTTATATTAATATAACATGTATATGAAGTTCAGACAGAAAACAAAACATTTACCTTACTTGCACAATCAAATGAAACGCCCATATCAGCAAGAATCTTCAGCAAAGCCTGGTCTGTATTGCACTTCACAGCTATAAGAATGACTTTTACTTAACATCATTTGGTAAATTTTGACAATATAAGTTTTGGTTTGATTTAAAGCGACAACAGCTCAGAAAATTTCTTTTTGTCGAAATTAAGTATGTGTAGCATAACTGGAAGATAAAGACCGGACCTTTACGCAAAAAGAACCTAAATAATTTCTCAATCGTTTCATTGAATAATCTGTTTTATTGTTATTTAATAACGGTAATAATAGCATAACCCGGTGCAATAGCGGCAATGGTAAGCGACTTTGTATTCCACGCTATAATAATTGCTTCTTACTTAATTCTAAATTATCATATTTCAATAATCATACATGTATGTAAATGAATTCTGCTTAATCAGATACAAGGGTCGTTACAGTACCTTGTCTTAACAACACTGTATATGAACAGGCTAAATAAAACCGTGGCTACAATATTTTGAATTCTGACGTTTGGGCATTTTTTAAAGTATCCCGTTTTTGACTATTTTTTTCCATATCACCTTCAGGGTCTCTGCAACGATTATATCAAACAAAATAAATAAAATAACCACCATACCATAAAAGATCTTTATTCGTGGCATTAACTTTCTCCAACGCTGTACCTTCTCAATGACGTCACCAATGTCACACATCAAAAATCTTTCGTCATCACCCTTGTTGTAAGAAAAGATAGTGATCAGGTGTTGCATGTCTGACTTCGATAAACATACATGTAAATAATAAATCATTGTGTCTATTTAATGCATCTGTATAAATGTGTTTAATGTATCAATTTGCCGTGTGCCCTATCCTGTTTTTTTATTTGGGATCCTGCAGGGTTCCTTGCCGTTGGTCCTGTGTTGCTGGGTCATATGGGCTTTGCGTTCCTTGTTGATCATGTTTTTCATATTGTTCCCCTTTTATTATCATTTTCTTTTCAAATACTGACTGTCTAATTCTTTAAAGTTGTATTTAATCTTGTGTTCTGAAATATCTTAAGTCATATACGGAACAGATCATGTTTCCGTGTTCTTGTTAATCTGCTTATTGTACCTTTATCACATACAAATTTATTGTCGTTCGACAATGCTTTAATAAATAACTGTTATAGAATATCACACAAATTGGGGAAAATAAAACAGAAAATAAAGGAAATCATTTCAAGCTACTAGACTAAGTGGCAACAACCGCATATTACATTCATGAATCAGTACAGACTAAAATGTACTAAATCGTGAATTCATGAAGTTGAAATCGTGAATTCACGAAGTTGAATTCGTGAAGTTGAAATCGTGAATTCATGAAGTTGAAATCGTGAATTCGTGAATTTGAAAGCATGACTTCATGAAGTTTAAATCGTAAATTCGTGAAGTTGAAATCGTGAATTCATGAAGCTGAAATCGTGAATTCATGAATTCCGTATGTTGAAACGTGAATTTACGAAGTTAAATATGTGAATTCATGAAGATGAAATCGGGAATTCATGAAGTCGAAATGGCCCTACCGGTCTTTCGTACTACGAAAGACCGGTGGGGCCATTTCAACTTCATGAATTCTCGATTTCAGCTTCATGAATTCTCGATTTCAACTTCAAGAATTCACGATTTCAACTTCAAGAATTCACGATTTCAACTTCATGAATTCACGAATTTACGAAGTTGAAATCGTGAATTCGCGAAGTTGAAATCGTGAATTCGTGAAGTTGAAATCGTGAATTCACGAAGTTGAAATCGTGAAGTTGAAAACGGGAATTCACGAAGTTTCAATTGTGAATTCTTAAAAATGAAATCGGGAATTCATGAAGTTGAAATGACCCTACCGGTCTTTCGTAAAGATGGGCCGGCACTTCATGTCGTCTGATAATGGACTGCCCTGTTTGCTTTTCAGTCAGTATGTAAATACATTTAAATACTTTAATAATGTCACTAAAAACGATTAATGGGATTGTAAAGATTGAAAGATGGAAGACAACATTTAAGGTATTAACCGTGGTAATGGAAAAACATTACATAAGTCATACTTCTCTTTGTTTAACTTGTACAATTTCATCTATAATTTCTGTAACTGATATCCGTTCTTCATGCAGATCAACAACTTGATCGTCAATTAATCTTTTCTTCTTCATTCCTCAATCATAAATGCCAGAAGATTTCAAATTTGATTTAAAAAAATAAAACATACACAGTGTAATGATTTTCAAATATCTCTTTACAGCAGGACCTGGGGTTTTTGAAATATAAATATAAAAGATTTTGATTTGAAATATGAATCCTATTCCATTTAAATTGTGTACTTTGATAATTTAATATATCTTTGGTTATTTAAAATATACATCATGTCATTGCAAATCTAAGAGTTTTAAACATCGTGTTTTACAAGCATGATATTTTCAAAAGAAACATTGCAACAAACCTCTTGGGGAGTTCAACGTGCAATTAATAGTATTAATAGCATTTCCCGCTGCCTAGTCTTAGTATGTAGTTAACCATTAATTAATTCATTATGATTAAATCAAAATTAAAATCAAACTAAAATATATATCCATATATATATATATATATACAAACACATTCCTCCATTTACGGGGCATCGGTCTATTTGAGACCATACTTGTGGGGTGTATATTTAATGTGGGGCATACATAAGGCCTCGCAACTCTGGCATGTTTAAAAACGATGTATGGGGGCGTAGGCTACCCTTCTAACATAGTGCCCGTAGGCCGGTTTTAGTAGTAAATGATATATGTCCCACAAATGTATATATTTATTATGGGGTTTTATGTTATTAGTCAATATGTTTTCACCTATGGTATAATCAAATATATAGTTTATATATATAAATTAGTACCCTTAGTTCTGTTGTATGGAAATGTTCATTATAGGCCTATATAGTGGCGTATATAAAAACTGACTGCATGAAATAATGCCACTCAACTCGGTCTTATATATGGGCCCCGTAAGTGAAGATATGTGTGAATATATATATATATATATATATATATATATATATATATATATATATATATATATATATATATATATATATATATATATATATATATATATATATATATATATATATATATATATATATATATAAGTGCAAATGAGAAACTTAATATTACATCTTTTAATATCTTTTTGCATAGAAACATTTCTTTTATAAACAAAATATTAATGACTAAAACTTAAGATAAAAGTGATAGTTCTGATTTTTATATCGTTAATTGTCAACATTTAGGAGATGGAGATTTACATCATGCAACATCACAAAGGGTATATATTTCTCAACTAATTAAATTTGCTATGGCTTGAAGTCTTATGCATAAAAAACTCCATTTATTACTCACAAACTTCTTCAATAAAGCCATCTCTATCATAAATTGCGTAAATATATTAAACTCTTATATCGTAAATCAAATTTAATTTTAACATTTGTAATTTAAAAACCTTTCTATAGAGATGTGGCTCATAAACTTCGGATGATCATGGCTCATACAGATTTTTCTGCTGTCTTCATCAAAATTATCAAAGGTATAACGTAAGATAACTTTATTAATAGGCTTTAACAAATGGATATCTTTATATGTAAAAAAACTACTTCAATTGTGAAATACAATGCAAAATAATAGTGACTAAAACAATGAAAGACTTACCCATGTTTTCAGTTAATCATTACTTTGCATCCAATTTATGTTTCTATCATATTTTTCTATCCATTATGATTTCGTATATTGTAAGTTTAAACCTAATTTGATAAAAATGCAATTTGATATCAAACCTTTTTTGACCATGAACACGAAACCAGTGTGAAACGAAATACGAGTATGTTTTATAACATATAGTTTATAAAATAGGTTAAACGACGGTACAGAAAAATAATGTCATATATATACTTTTGTAGAATAATTTTAATTCACGCTGATATTTTAGAACATACATATAAGTAATGTTTAACTATTCAATAAATGGTATATTTTAATGTTTATACCTAGTTGACATGATAAATATTTATGTATTATAACAGTAAGTGTAATATATATAAAGGATAAATATCAAATTCATATTTACCATATATGAAGCACATTTTGTTAGTTAAAAATTAACTAGGGGTACTTTAAGTCTCTATGTTCCATACAGCACAGTTAGTTCCCCATAGATATCTTATAAACCCTGGATACTCTCAACACTCTTATTTCACGTTACTTGCTCAAAATATAATTGCTTTTTGTACAGCATGTCACACACATAAAGGTGACTCAAATCGCCATACTATGCACTATTTACAAAGTAAATTGGCGAATAAAAATCCTAGAACATTACATTTTAATCTAGCGCATTGTTGAATTCCATAATGTACTGATTTCATACTTAATGTTCGTATTAGCACGCTTTATAATAAAAGAATCAAAAGTCAATTTATCAATGAAAAAATATGTGACATATTATGACACCTTTTTAAATGTTGGCACCTGGTAAGTATAAAAAGGTCTTACACAGATATTTGAAAAACATTACGCTGTGTATGTGTTTTTTATTTTAGGAGTAATTTTGAAACCCTTTTTGACATTAATGATAGAGGAATGAAGAAGAAAAGATTAGCAGAAGATCAAGTTGTTGATCTGCATGAAGAACGAATAACAGTTAAAGAAACTATTGATAAGATTGTACAAGTTAAACAGAGAGAAGTATGTATTATATGTATTATTTAACAATTAACATTTAATGGACCTGTCTATCTTTTAATCTATACATGACCATCAATCGTTGTTAGTGACATATGTTTAGTATAAACCGATTGAAAAGCGAACAGGGCAGTCCATTGTCAGATGACATAGATGTGCGACCACATCTTAGTCTGAACTGATGCATGAACTAATATGTTGCCAGTAGCAGTTTGAAATGAATTTTTCTTTTTAAAATGCATTTAAATAGATAGTCAGTTTTCATTATTTTGCTTCATTTCTGTTCTATTTTTTCCACTTTATGTGATATACTGTAACAGTTAATGATTAAATTCAAACAACTATAAATTAA